GACCGGTGTCTGGCGTGGCTCTGCCGGCCCGGGCTCGGGTTACCTGCGCTATGAGCCTCTGTTCTCGCATCTGCGAAATGGGGATCGAGCCCTCAGGGCCCGCAGAGCCCTCAGGGAGCCTGGTCCTGTGCTCGCGGGCACCATTGTATTAGTGTTGTTTGTATTCGTTTTCACTGTTACCACCTTCAGCGGTTGTCACCATCGTCACCATTTCAAACAGGAGGACAGGAGGCCCGCAGCCGGAGCTCAGTCGGAAACTGGGATCGTTTACCTGCGCGCTGGCTGGGCCTCTGTGCAGCGTGTTCAGAGGGGCTGGGGCCTGACTCGCAGCGGGGTGGGCACCGGCCCAGAGCTCGGTCACCGTCAGCCAGGGGCACCCGCTGGCTCAGGCAGCAAATAGCGCTCCTCGTTTCCCCAGGGTCCCAGCCAGGTGGGGTGCCTTATTCATTTATTTATTTACTTATTTATTAAAATATACATTTTTATTGATTTCAGAGAGGAAGGGAGGAGAGATAGAAACATCAACGATGAGAGAATCATTGATCAGCTGCCTCCCGCACGCCCCCCACTGGGTATCAAGCCCACAACCTGGACATGTGCCCTTGACCGGAATCGAACCTGGGACCCTTCAGTCTGCAGGCCAACGCTCTATCCACTGAGCCAAACCAGCCAGGGCTTATTTTTATAATATATTTTTATTGATTTCAGGGCGGAAGGGAGAGGGACAGAAACATCAATGATGAGAGAGAATCACTGATTGTCTGCCTCCTGCACGCCCCCTACTGGGGATCGAGCCCACAACCTGGGCATGTGCCCTTGACCTCCTGGTTCATAGGTCAACACTCAACCACTGAGCCACGCTGGCTGGGCTGGTGCCTTTTTTGAAAACTCCAGCCCTTGTCTGGGTGGGTGAGGCTGGGAGCTGCCCTGGCAATCCTTAGTGTCTAACCAGGTCTACTGGGTGGGTCGTGGCTGGTTCCTGGGGGCAGGGGTATTCAGGCCACCCCCACCCTCCAGGAGACCAGCAATCCTGCTCCCCCACCTACTCCCCACAGGGGTCCTCCTGAAAGAGCCCAGCGCTCTGGGTCAAACTTAGTCACAAACCTTTCTTACTTTAAGTGTGGACTCCCTTCCCAGTAGCTTTCATTACACACACACACCACACCACTCCTTATAGCTTTCATTACACACACTCACACACACACCACTCCTATAGCTTTCATTACACACACACCACTCCTTATAGCTTTCATTACACATACACACACACACACCACTTTTTACAGCTTTCATTACACACATACACACACACACATAACCACTTCTTATAGCTTTCATTACACATACACACACCACTCCTATAGCTTTCATTACACACACACCACTTCTTACAGCTTTCATTACACACACACACAACCACTTCTTATAGCTTTCATTACACATACACACACCACTCCTATAGCTTTCATCACACACACACACACACACACACACACACACACACACCACTCCTTTTTTCACACACACACACACACACACACACACACACACACACTCCTTATAGCTCACACACACACACACACACCACACACACACTTCTTATAGTTTTCATTACACACACACACCCCACTCCTTAGCTTCCCACAAACGGACCAGGCCCCTTGCATTTTCTCACCTCCCTAACTTTCAGACAGCAGTAGCCAGTGTTAACCAAGAGCCTGCTCACTTCACATGCCTACCCCCAGGTGTTGTTTTTAAGGATGAGGCAACGGGGGGGGGGGGGGGGGAGCAGCCCAGGCAGCCTGGCCCCAAGCAACCCTCCTGATGGTAGGAGACCTTCACCCCAGACCCACCAGCCCAGCTGTGCCCTGGACCCAGGAGGAGGTGACAGAGGTCTGCTTGGCCCTGTCCCTCTGACAACTCCCTCCCCCTCCTCACCTCCCTGGGTGTCAGGCCGGTGCCCCGGGTGCCTGAGTCCGTCCACTTGTCCATATCCCACCAGCCCTCTGCCTCCATTCTAGCTCAGACCAGATTTTTCTTGTTTTTTGATGTGGGCATTTATCGCTATGCACTTCCTCCTCAAAACTGCTTTTGCTGGGTCCCGTCAGTGTTGGTGTGTTGTATTTTTGTTTGTCTCAAGATGTTATTTCTCTTTTGACCCCCTGGTTTTTCAGAAGCATGTTACTTAATCTCCAGCTCTGTGATTTGCCTAGTTTTTATTCCTCTTGGAATTGAGACCATTATGGTTGGAAAAGATGCTCGACATAATTTGCATCTTCCCAAATGTTAAGACTTGCTTTTGGCCTGACATTCCCTCCGCTGGGGAGCGTTCCCTATGCTCCCAGAAGCAGGCGTGTCCGGTGCTTTTGGATGGAGTGTTCGGACCGTGTCTGTAAGTCCGTCTGGTCCGTGGTGTTGAGGCCCATGTTTCCTGCTGCTTTTTGTCCGGATGGTGCAGCCATTGATGGAAATGCTCCTCGTGACCTCCTGGCTCTGAAGTCACTGGGAGCCAGGGTCTGGCAACTCCCGAGCAGCTTCCCCAGCTCCCAGGCCAAGACTCTGATTGGCTCAGCTCACCTGCGAGCCCCGCCCCCTGGCTGGGTCTCAGGACGCCTCCCAGGGCCGCCCTG